AAAATTTAAATAAGGCGAAATAAGAAGAAAAAGTAGTATAAATAAAGGCCAAGATATCCTTTGAATTGCTCGGCTATCGTTGCGTACGGATAAGTCTGAAAGAAACAAAGCAAGTAACACTTCCGGAATGGAATTTCGGAAATTTGATATTACAGGTTATGATAAATTTAAATTTTCCTATCCGTACGATGAAATGTTTCTAAAACCATCGTTAAATTCATTTATTAACTAATTTTTCAATTTCATCTACTAGTTACTTTATCTTTTTTTGAAGAATAAAAAACTAAATTTCATGGTACGAATGAATTTTAAATAAAACTTATACTACAAAATCATATCACTAGCATCATCAAGTAGTAATTATTATTGGATAAAATTTTGATCAAAAATTATTAAAATTCATGATAATTTTGCAGAATTTATAAAATAAACTGATATTAAGTATAGAAAGAGAATTATTACTCGAAATCAATTACACTTCTTTCTTTGTTTTTTAATTTAATTTCCTTTTTTCAAAAAAAAATGATCTCAATTGAGATTATAATCTTTGTGAATAATATTTTATATAATAAAATTTGATTTAAAAAATTTGAGTTAGCAATAAGTTTTATTTGCTCCAACCAACATAATTCATTCCATTGAATTTCAATGCAAATTAGTTTCTGTTCTGGAACGGTTGAAAAAGAATATATTAAAAAAAAACACACACACACAAATAGAACAATTAATTAGTATAGCATTTTGATGATATGAGGTTAAAATAAACAGGTGAAAAATGAACTAAATTACTCAAATATAGACAATACAGTAATTCTGTAAATCTTTGATTAATATTATAATTTATAATAATTTTAAATGATTTTTTTTGTAAGTTAAATTTTTAATTTACAGTATTAGCAATAAAATAATTTGGTAAATACTGGTAAAATGAATAAAATTTATTCAATTTGATTTTAATTGAAATTTTTCTTTTTGATAATTTGCAAAATATATATTTAATCGAATTAATTATTCATAAATGAAGAAGGGCATACTTGTATTAACGTGTAACATATGAATTGATTCTGGTGCATCAATTGTTTTACACGAATAACTTCCATCATCATCACTTGAAGCGCTAAGAATTCGTAATGTATGAATGATCGTTCGACTGTCACGTTTTACTTTTGAAATATACTCTAAAAAACAGTATTCATTTTAAAATGTACTAATATTTAATTAATTTCAT